GATATAAGGAAAGTATAGGAATCATGATTTGTTTCGACCTTGAGTTTTCGATGAATTTTTACGTTTTGAGGTCCCCTGAGTCTGTTTTGACTATTTTCGCGATGATATCTGTATGTGTGTGTGTATGTATCTGTATGCGTGTGTGTATCTGTGTGTGTGTGTGTGTGTGTGTGTGTGTGTGTGTGTGTGTGTGTGTGTGTGTGTGTGTGTGTGTGTGTGTGTGTGTGTGTGTGTGTGTGTGTGTGTGTGTGTGTGTGTGTGTGTATGTGTGTATGTGTGCATGTGTGTATGTGTGTATGTGTGCATGTGTGCATGTGTGCATGTGTGCATGTGTGCATGTGTGTATGTGTGTATGTGTGTATGTGTGTATGTGTGTATGTGTGTATGTGTGTATGTGTGTATGTGTGTATGTGTGTATGTGTGTATGTGTGTATGTGTGTATGTGTGTATGTGTGTATGTGTGTATGTGTGTATGTGTGTATGTGTGTATGTGTGTATGTGTGTATGTGCGTATGTGCGTATGTGCGTATGTGCGTATGTGCGTATGTGCGTATGTGCGTATGTGTGTATGTGTGTATGTGTGTATGTGTGTATGTGTGTATGTGTGTATGTGTGTATGTGTGTATGTGTGTATGTGTGTATGTGTGTATGTGTGTATGTGTGTATGTGTGTATGTGTGTATGTGTGTATGTGTGTGTGTGTGTGTCTGTGTGTCTGTCTGTGTGTCTGTCTGTGTGTCTGTCTGTGTGTCTGTCTGTGTGTCTGTCTGTGTGTCTGTCTGTGTGTCTGTCTGTGTGTCTGTCTGTGTGTCTGTCTGTGTGTCTGTCTGTGTGTCTGTCTGTGTGTGTCTGTCTGTGTGTGTCTGTCTGTGTGTGTCTGTCTGTGTGTGTCTGTCTGTGTGTGTCTGTCTGTGTGTGTCTGTCTGTGTGTGTGTGTCTGTCTGTGTGTGTCTGTGTGTATGTGTGTGCGTGTGTCTGTATCCACCATAACTCATGAACCGATACACAGAAAAACACCAAATTTTAAACATAAGCTTTATTCTAGCGTCCAATGAACTGATTAGTTTTTGGGCAGAGTCGGAACATCTGGGGGGTACTTTATGGGTGGTCATTTTTATATTTTATAGAATAAATCTGTAATTTACGTTTGGAGAATAACATTTTTCAAATAAAAGTTACTTCTAATATTACTATCTATAATTTTAGTTTTATACAAAATTTTCCTAAAATGGTCCGTATTCGAGAAATTTGACAAAATAAAAAAAAAAATTTTTATAAAAATTGTTCAAATAAAAGTTGTTTTTAATATAATTCTCTATAATTTTTATGCTATACATAATTTCTCTAAAATGGACCGTATTCGAGATATTTGAGAAAATGTGTAAATTTTGAATTTTGAAGAAAACTCAAAAACGGATAAAGAAAAAAACATTAAATTTTAAATTTAAGTTTTATTTCGGCCTGACGTGAAATGATTAGATTTTGGACAAAGTCGGAACATCTAGGGGGGTACTTTATGGGAGGCCGTTTTTATATTTTATGGAGTATGTCTGTTATTTATGTTTGGAGAAAAAAATTATTGATTCTAAAATGGACCGTAATGAAAAAATTGTAGGAAAAGTGTTAAATTTAAATTTTTCAGTATTTTTGTTTTCAATTAATATCTATAGAAAAATGTTTCGAGGTAGATGTATGTGGAAAATGTATATATTTAGTTTATCCTCTAAACATTTATACAGGTACTGCAATAGGTTATACAAAATAACCGTAAAAAGCCTATAATAACTAGATAGGAAAGTCATGTGTTGGACACATCAGATTTTTTTCCTAAAGTTAATAATAAAAAAGTATATTAAATTTAAATAAATACATATTGATGAATGAGAATTCTGTGGACTTTTAATGTTCTAATTTTATTGTCAAAAAATTATGACCCAATATACAAACGTTTAACATTGGCAGCAACGAATAATATTAAATTATGACTTTTTATTATGCATGTAATTAAAAATACCATATTATCACTGGATAGCAAATAAAAAAAAATCTTGAGGCAGTAATTTCTTAGACTGATGTCTCCACTTTTTAGTGAGACAAAATAAATTTTTATTATTGTACTATTTAACATTTTCATGTGCGTAGAAGAAAATGAAATAACATAAAACTTTCTGTTTTAGCTCAGAAAGTGGTGACGTCAGTGTAAAGAACCGCTGCCTCAATATTAATCAAATATTACACAGGGTGAATTACCATGGACGATGGTCGTCTCCATACATAAAACAGTGCATTCTGTTAATTTTTTGCATGAATACTTTGATCTTCAAAAAAGCTATTATTTAAAATTAGTTTCAATTGTAGAGATTGTCCTATAAAAAAATAACGTATCAAAGTTGATTTTTTAAATGGGACATTCTGTATTTTATAGTAATTTACGATTCTTTATTCAAAAATAGTGTAAATTTGTTCAGAAGTCTTCATCTTTTTTGGTTTGTATGTATGGGTTTAAAGGACGCATGCGCATTCCTAATTAGACCAAGACAAGTACAATCTTGTATGTGAAGTGAATATCGGTGAACAATTAAAACCTTAATAACCGAAACATGAAAACTTAAAAAACCAAAATTAATCTAATTACAACAAATTAGGTATCTAGAATAAGGCAGAATTTAGCCCAAAATTAAATTAGAAATCCAAAAAATTAGAAGCCAAAAGGCGAGACTGTCCTACCGGTACCGAACCAAATCATTGCGAAAATTACATATTAGATACATTCATGTACATAGATACTAATAAAAATTGTGTACATACCTTTAAATACTGGAATCAAGGAGGTTAATCCCCAAGTTTCTAAATAAGCTTCCATGTTACACAAGACACAAGATCACAAGAAAAACACTGGCCCATATACCTAACTAAAACCATCTAAAACTAGCACACGTGCACACACGACGTTAAGACAAAAGACTGCAAATTGCCGCCAACAATTAATAGGTTAGTGGCGTAGCGGGTCCCCCACCATCAAAAATCTGTATGTTTCTGGTAATGACAACAGAAAGGGTGTTATGGAATATAAAATGGGATCATTGAGATTATAATGCGTTTTAGAGTGATAATAGATATCAGATTGTATGAAACTGAATCTGCTTGTTATAAGTCATTCTGTCGGCGCTATAAGAATTTTTGTTTTCGAGTATGCTACCGCGGTAATGAAATAAAAAATATAGGGTTTAATTGACTGATTTACTATAGTAGTAAGATATTGCTTACTCTCTATCAATATTCCTATAAGTATTATGATACTTAGTCTGGCAAAACCGTTGCATTAATCTATTTCTTTCTGTGTAACAGAGAAATTGCGGAAAAGTTTCATCTTTACGACATAACGCCACCAGACCCTCATCACAACCCACCATAGCTGGAGCGCCATCGGTTGTCAAGCCTACCATTTTAGATATTGGAATTTTCTCGGAAGAAATATTATTTTTTTAATAAGAAAACTCCTGTCGAGTAGTGTGTCCTTTCAGTGGAATAAACTTCAAAAGATCTTCTTTAATCGTAAAATTACTAAAAACCATCCTGACGAACACGGCCATCTGGGCAGTATCAACGACATCTGTTGATTCATCCAGTTGAAGTGAAAAATAAACACAGTTATCTAAGTCAGTTCTTAACTGTAAAAAAATATCATTGCTCATTACTTCTACACGTCTCATCACTGTATTAGCAGAAAGTTGCATAGATTTTATAGCTGAAACTATCTCGTCTTTATTTCTAAAGTTGGCAAATAACGAATTAGCAGCTTCAAAAATCGCCTGTTTTATCATTTCCCCGTCTTCATAAGGTTTCTTTTTTTGTGCAATTATCTGGGACACACGGTACGATGCTTCAGTTGCAGCCTTATTTTTGTCGATTGTTCTTAAAAATATTGATTGTTGTCCAATTAACTGCTTTTTTAACGGTTTCAGTTTCTCCTTTCTGGCGGCAGAATGTAGTGGGAATGATTTTTCAAAATTAGAATGTACAGTTTTATGATGTCTACCAATATTTCCTTCTTTTAGCAACAGAGGCTGAAGTACTACATAACAAACATACATTTTTATCTTTAACTTCTGTAAAAAAGTATTGTTCTTCCCATTCCGAATGAAAGTGGTATGTCTTTACCTTCTTACAACTGCTTGCCATAAAGACCTTCTGGTATTTGATGATTCAAATTCAAATGAGGAGAATAATAGACCCGATTTAGTAAAAAATCCTAATGAGACTAGTAATAGTAGCATCGATGGAGCCATTGCGAGAACGGCCAATAATTTACCAACTCCTAGAGTTACTACTGATACCGACGCAATTCTAATTCATAATAACGACATCGTAGAACCCGAAAAAAGTTGCAATCGCCCAGATGACGAAACAAAATCAGCGTAGTTGATAGAAAATAACGATATTGCTTCAAGTGACTGTATAACTGCGAGTGAAAAAACTATCCAAATTTCCGAATGAAATGATATTCATGAGTCCTACCAAACTAAATTATTTGATGACATATACGAGAACTTCCAGAAAGGTATTATTATAGTAACTGACCTTGATACAGACAACGACAATAATGGAATAATTGAAGTAGAAACAGTGGAAAATGAATATTTAGCCAACACTGTTCAATTAGAAGCTGACAACACCGACAGCGAAGAAGAAACCATGGATAATAAAAATTTAGCAAACAATGAATTAGAAGCTGAGCCTACGGAAATCGAGGAGGAAATACAAAGATACAAAGAAGAAAAGAATACAAGAAAAAGAAATAAGAAGTTTAGAGAAAAAGGCTATAAATATAAAACTTTGAGAAAAAATAAAATTACCGGAAAATACTCTTATGAAAACGAAAATGAAAAGAGAAAACTGAGACCAACATGTTAATATATTTTATACAAAAAGGCAAAAAATTGGTTTTGCAACACGTTCAGCCTCCTCGACAGAAAAAATATATTTTTAAATTTTTGGGAAATGTCATGGGACATGCGGAAAGTGTACGTTTCGTCATTGGTCAAGACGACAACTTCTCGACGACCTAAAGAAGATAACTCCAGTCGCTTACTGACATTTGAATATTATCTAAAAAAGGATACTGAAAACATTAGAATTTGCAAAAAGTTGTTTTTAAACACTTTGGATTTGAAGGAGTGGATGGTAAAAATTTGGTTAAACCCAGCGGCTAATAATAAGATAAAGGACAGCAACGATATAGCTATGCCCAGTAGATCAAGATTACCTGTAGAATTGAAAAATGGATTAGAAGTGTTAAACACCTTTTTAGACAAACTTATCAAATTAGAATCACACTATTGCAGACCATCAACCCAAAGACTGTACTTGGAACCATTGTTTCAAACAAAGTCTAATGCATACCGTGATGATATTAATGCCAAAGCTCTAAGTTTAATTCATTTTAAAAAACAAATGAAAATCAATAATATATTTGTCTATAAACCTAAGAAAGACCAATGCGATGTGTGCATTGGGTATAAGACTAAGAACGTATCGCAAAGAAATTATGAGACCCACATTAAGAGAAAAGATGAAGCCAGGAAGGAGAAAGAAGGAGACAAAAAAATAGCAATGAAAATGGAAAATAGAGTGATTGCAGTCCTAACTATGGACCTTCAGTCTGTGAAGCTTGCCCCTGTACTGCAAGCTTCTGCTATTTACTACAAAACAAAATTATGCATTCACAATTTTACAACTTTTAGCTTAGTAGACAAAGAAGTTTCCTGTTACTTATGGCACGAAGCTGAAGGTGGTCTGGAGGCTAACATTTTTGCAACGCTTATTGTCAAGCATCTTTCCAGTTTTTTGGAAAAAATCCGCATATAAAAACCATTATCCTCTTTAGCGATGGTTGCGGTTACCAGAATCGTAATTGCATTTTGAGTAATGCTCTATACCATTTTGCCAACGAAACGGGCACAATTGTAATTCAAAATTTTTTAAAAAAAGGACATACCCAGATGGAAGTAGACAGCGTGCACAGTTTGATAGAAAGAAAGCTTAAAAATAAAGACATAAATCTTCCATCTGATTATATTGAAGTGTGCAAAAAGGTTCGATTGAAGCAACCTTTTGAGGTAAAATATTTGGATCACACGTGGTTTCTAGATTACTCAAAATTGGGATATTATAGCAGTATTAGACCTGGCCAAAAAATACTGTTTTACATGTGAATGATATAAGATGCCTAAAATATGAAAAAAATGATGGAATCTGGTTTAAGAGTAATTTTTCAGACAATTGGACTATCTTACCTCAAAGATTGAAGACTATAAATAATGGACAGTTTAGTCAATTATACAAAAGTCGTATAAAAATAAAAGAACAGAAGTATCAACACCTACAAGCACTTAAAAGTGTCTTACCCTTAGATGTACACGAAGTTTATAATTCATTACCTCATTAATTAAGTTTGTATTTACATTTGTTTATGTTTTTTTGAATAAAAATTTTAATTTTGTAATTTGATACCAATAAATAAATAATTTATGTTAGGAACATGCATCTAGCTGCTGTTTAAAATTGCAGCATTAACAGCGCAAAACCTCGTAAGGAGCACTTTTCGTGCAGAGGAAGATGTCAAAACCAAGTATCTAATACTACCAATAAAAAAAAATAAATTATTTTCTAAAAAGTGTACAGACACTAAGATAATATTTCCCATGTGGTTTGTAATTATTTTCTATCAAATCCATTTCAATAACTTAAAATTGTGAGGTTTTTATTGCCTCCTGAAAATTTTGATTTTTGCAGTTACTTGGGTTTGCGGTTTTGCCGACGATATTTAAAATGAGTACTTTTTAAAACTGTCGTGGTCAGTAGGATAATTTAAATACTTTGCTCCGATTGAAAAAAAAAATTATTTTATTCATACTGTCGTAAAAACTTCCATAGCCAAGCCCGATTTTTAAATATTCTGTTCTACCCAATCACGAAAACAGGAAAAAATTTAAATAACTTACCACCTATCCGAAAGAAACTTGAACTATACAAACATTTGATCAAAAATGCAAAAACTGAAGGGTACATTTCTTTCATTTCGTTCTTTCTCTCAAAGCAGCAAAGAAGGAAAGTAGGTATGCATTTATTTCAGAACACGAAGCAATTTTCTCAACGAAATATCAGAAATATTCCTAGATATCATAGTAAAATCGAGTTTTCGTTTGCTTTTTGTCAGAAGTTCCTCGATATAAGCCTTGAGTTTATTTTTGTGAACGGCGGAAATAACCAAAGGTGCGTGAAATTTGCTAAATCGACTAAATTCCCAGTCTAGGATCCGATTTACAGCACAAATCGTTTGTTTTTGACTCTCGAATTGGATTTTCAGCCTTCATTGGCGATAAAATACGCTGAATTGTGGGGTTAAATATTTTTTGTTGTCCCTGCATCGATACCGTTTGCAAATGATATATAAATATGTTTATTTTTCGAGAATCCACGTCTGTTTTGGACAGATTGCAGACACTTTTTTTTGGATTAGCTGCGATTTCGACGGTTTTAGTCATAAAAACTCAATTGCGGTATGTTTTTGGGTTTTCAGTAATCGCTGCTACCAGTGGAAGTGAAAATCTAAATGTGTGAATTGTTGAGTTATCACACTTAAGCTGCGATTGCCACAATAATGCTGGAAAAATAACATGCCAAAATATCAGCCATTGCGAGGAAAGTTATTTAAAAAAGTAAAAAGATTTTCTAAAATTTTAAACAAGCTCTATGTATGAACTTTCCTATGATCAATTTTCATCATAAAATAATGCAAAATAAGTCAATGATGGAATAAAATCCCAAAATTATTACAATCAATTTTTATCTTACAGGACAAAACAAAAATTTTTGGTGACTTAGAATAAATAAGAAACATGAATTCATAAAGTATTTGTACGATTAGAAGGCAGTGTCGTCACATGATAAAAAACCTGCAGCTTTGTCAGATAGATTTTTTTCCTTCGCCTAAAGATAACATGGCGATAGTTTTCTTTTGTTTTTCCTTGCCTAAATATAAGTGTATCTAATATGCTATCAACTTTAAAGGGCTATTAAATAGGTTTTAACTTGATTAAAGATTGAAATGGGTGTAAAAAAGAACTGGTAGCCTATAGCATAAAAAAATCTTAAATATAAAGTATTTTCAATAATAGGAAAAGTGTTTTAAGATTCCAATAAAAATTAATAATTATGTAATTTTGTAATTTTTATTGTAATATACGAAATCATACTGATATAAAAATATTAGATCAAGACAATTTTTAAATAATATATTTTTTTAATTATCGCGTTCTTTGATGCCTCTGATATTTTGGCTAAAGTTCATCACTAACGAGATATAAATTTCTCATGATTGAACTTTCCATTCTGATTCATGCTGTACAAACTGCTAGTATTATTGTTATATTTGGTTATTGCTAACTAGAAGTAGTAAAGAATGGGATAATTATGAAATTTTCTTGTTCTTTCGAAGCCTATTTTTAAAGAATATCCAATAATCTTCCTCACTCTCATCATTCTCATTTAAATTAATACAACTTCCCTATCTCTCAGCCTGCTTTCACCCAAATATCAGAGGTTGCTTTTTCTTATTCTTTTTTTTATATATCTAGTGCTTTTTCTGCTGAAGTATTATCCTTTCTTTCATTATTACTATAATAATTTTTAGTGATACTCCAAATATGTTCAATAAGTCATTGATACAATAGTAAGGATGTAGTCGAAGTACCTTTTGTCCATATTTTTACTTGTGTTTAACTAGGCAAGAACCAAAAAACTCGAAGTGGAGTAGGATACTTACAAATCTCATATCAGAAAATACAAAAAAAAAATTAGACAAAAACAGAGAGATGCATAGGGATTCCACGGCGCAGAAATCAAAGAGAATCAAAAAGCTTTCTTAAGAGATCCACAACGCAGCATTGGTACGCTAATCAAAGAGGATGACATAAAAACGGCAAACCTCGAAGATAGCATCAATTTTCTACTGTCAACACACTTTCCTAACTCGGTCATCACAGACGTGGCCGACTAAGGAAGAGAAAGGAAACAAAACATTTGTCTGGGATTGAAAAATTTCCAAACACAATATGAATTGCTTCAAAATTAATTGGGCAATATCTAGATTCTCTCCATTTAAATCGCCAGGGCTTGACGATAACTATCCAGCCCTACTTCAGTGAAGTCTGGAAAAACTCACACTGCACCTGGTAGGTATATTTAGATCCTTGTTAGCTCTGAGGTATATTCCCAAAAAATTGAAAAATAGTAAAGTGATAATTATACTCAAACATGGGATTGAATACATTGTTCCAAAAGCATATCGACCAATTAGTCTGATATCGTTTATAACGACATTGGAAAGGCTATGCGAAAGGTACATGAGGAATGTGGTGGTTACATCACCACTTCATTCATATCAACATGCATACAATTGAGCAGAATCTTCTTAAGTCAGTCGTGCGTTCTGAAAGCGACGCCATGTGGTGAAATGCATAAAAAGTAGGTAATGCTGTTGCTTCACCCAGAAGTATCTGCTTCGCCTACAAAGAACACACTACACTATACAAGACAACAGAAGTACCTTCTACTTAACTGAAGTATCTACTACAGTCCTGTGGCGTGCGCATCACGTGCCGCAACAATCGTGTTAGAACTTGTTTTTCCATCAGTGCCTGCATTAGTGGATTCACATTTAGTCCTAAACTATTAAAATTTTAAAAAAGTTACAAGTATGAGTGACTCTTCTGATTCCGAAGTAACAAAGGAGTTGGGCCAGGATAAAAATGAACAATTGTTATTTGTTACTCTCCTTCAGGATTATTAAATTTTGTATGATAAAATAATGACACCAAAAATCAAAAACCAAAAAGCAGATGCACTGAAAAAATTAACTGCTGGCTTCATTGAAATAATAGGAAGAAACCTAGAGGCAAAACAAATTTTGAAAAAATTCAATAATATGAAATGAAAAGTTAAGAAAATTGTTGACAAGAAAAAAACTGGAAACAAAATAATCGTACTGACTGAATGGCAGAGAAAACTCAACGATTTATAGAACGCAGGAGAAAATCTAGTCCTACATAGGGTACCAGGTGCGTGTCAGGCGGGTGTAATCAATGAGGCATATTCCAAGCAAGTTAGACACCTAGAGGTCCTAAAACAGCTGAAAAAGAGGAGTCACTAATTCAACTACAGAAGATCTGTTTACGAAAACAAATTGAAGCTTCCGAAGCTCAAATTTCTGCCGCACGAGCTAAACAGTCTTTTGCAGAAACTCAGGAACGGGCTGCGATTGCATTAGTAAACTTTGTCCAAGCTGGTGAGCAGTTAGTCGACCATTTAATTCAGCGAGACATGTTGGATTGAATAAATATTTATAAACGTGTAACTATTTAGATGAAATCATTTTTTATTTTCATTTTGTTATGCAACATTTAATTTGAAATAAATACGCTATTTAGTTGTAGATTTACTGCATGGGATGAGATAAATTACTTTAGTTGGCATAACGAAATATAGCTTCGGCAACTTCATTTCTGCGCAGTGTGCCTTAATTTAGAATTTGTGCTTGATAACCATAGGGTATTAGTTCATTCGGATGCCGCACTTCTATCTCAACTGGATTAATATCATGGTATGGATTTCGCAAGAATTTGGCTATATTGTGAAGCACAAATGTGCCTTGGAATGCTTTCAGTTTTCAGACGAGAAGTATAGTG